TTAGCTGGTCATAGCATCAGATACTTGCATTGGTCAGCACAGAATTTCATCCTGCAAGAATGGAAGACAGGTGACAAGTCAGTGCTTTCAAGCTCCTTTGTCTTAAAATTAGAACCTAAATCCATATCTAGGCAGAGAGCTCATTTTCAGAGATGCAAAGACCACACATTCCATTATATAAGAAACTTAAAAATGAGCCATAGTAGGTTGGACCAAAGGTCCAGTTAGTCCAGTATCCTGTCTTCCAACAGTGGCCAGTGCTAGATTCTTCAGAGGGAAAGAACAGAACAGGTAATCAGGCCTAGGTTGGATATTAGGAAAAACTATTTCACTAGGAGAGTGGTGAAGCACTGGAATGGGTTGCCTAACGAGGGGTGCTGGTTTCTTCCGTAGAGGTTTTTAAAGCCGAGTTTCACAAGGCCCTGTTGGAATGAGTTTGTTGTGATTGGTTCTGCTCTGAGCAGAGGGTTGGACTAGACGATTTGAGGTCTCTTCCAATCCTAATCTTCTGTGATTCCACTGCCACAGCAAAGGCAAGCCTCAACTAAGGCTCCTATAATAAGCAGTGGCACAGGAATTCTGCTACAGTGGATCACCATTATGTTGTACTTATTTGGGATCTTAAAGGTGAATGCTTTTCCCTTCACTGATAGTTCATATGAATTATTATTTCTTCCAGTTTTATCAACTTCTATGTTAATATGGAAACTGTGCTGACAACTGCTGCTGTGGAATGTACCAATTAAAAATGAATTGATGTGTTTTTTTATTGCAGCTATTGTCCAAGGAGAAAGCTTAGAAGATATATATAATCAATGCAAACTTGTAATTGAAGAACAATCTGGACCTTTCATCTGGATTCCTTCAAAGGAAAAGTTATAAATTAGCCACTGCACCTCTTATTATGACAGAAGTATATTTAGAAGAAAACTACACTATACTATTTTGAGGCTTTCCTGTTTTTGTTGCATTTATGTTCTTGCAGTCAATGTGAATTTTTATGAATGTACAACACAAAGTGTTTGAAGCCATGAAGGACAGTGATGGGTCAAAAGGGTAGGAACAAAAAGACTTTTACCATACAAAGCAAATCTGTTGTGTGCGCAAAGCACCAGTTGTAGGTATAAACTTTTGACATGGGGACCCTCTGTCAAAGGGAGCTAGCCACCTACTGCACTTACATGGACATCATGAATAATGTCAGTGGCTATGCTCAGTGTGTTGATCGCTTTAAAGAGAAGTTTCCCAGCTCTTGAACCTCATGTAGGGCTTGAGCCTGCAAGGGGCTGAACACTTGACCCCGGTTCATACTCCTGTGGGTAGTTCCATTGAAGTCAATGGGACTAAGCGTGTGCTAAAGTGTTTTGGTGGATCAGGGCCACATGCTCCTTGCTGGATTGAGCCCATAGAACCTGTTCCAACTTCTGTTGAAGTCAATAGAAAGATTCCCACTGAAGTTGGATTGGGTGATAAGCTTGTCATTGCACATCAGTAGTTGGTACTCCTCGACTTTGGTAACTATGCACATGTATTGATTTCCAAAACCAAGTCAAGCATTTCTTTTTCCCCTTTGGAAGCACCATTATATCAGGAAATAACCATGTAGTTTATTTCAATGGAAGCTGGTGTTGGGAAGGGAACAGAAACATTTCACATCACACACATACCCACTCACAGGTATGAGGAGTCACAGTACCTAAACTGACAAGGAGGGAGACAACTGGGAAAAGCTTTGAAATTTTTGATTGTCTATTTTATCATTTATACTGATAGAAGGCACTTAATGATGGAATAATTTATAAAGATTAAAATATATTGATGTATAGAAACTAATTTCTATAGGTGAAAAATGTTTTGTGAGATATTTTGTAAAGATTAATTAATTGAAAGATTAAATATTTGCACCCTGGTCTGGCTGTAAAATGTAAAGAGGACCTTCAAGTTGCACTACCCCTTTCCGCAACAAATTATATAATCATTTTAACAAATTATATAATTTCTTAAATTTTAGATGACACTTTTTTTCAACTTAATCATCCTTCCTTTTAGTTAATCATGATAAATTCCAGTGAAAAGAACTCAAATTGATTACCCTGCAGGGTTTTTGTTGTTGTTATTGTTTTGGAAATAATAGGATGATGCATCTTTAAATTGAAAAAGCTGATTTTTCCGAAGCAAAATGTCAGTGACTTGAATGTAGTGTATTATTTTCTCTCTTAAAGGGAGCCATAATCTTCATTGGGAAACATTTTATAATAATTCCTTATGATATAAGTGAAATGCCAGAAGCATTTGGCCACTGACTAACTTGTGTCATCATTTCATTTCACAGTCAACAGGGGGGTTTCACCGTTAAGACTGGGGCAGTTGACATTTGTGGGGGATATGGGGAAAATCTGTGGAATTTCTGCTTGGACTACATGGGTGGAGAGTTCTTGCTTGCTGTTTCACTTGGCCCTTCTTTCCTATACTAATACAAATTTCACTGTACCACATCTGGAAGATAGTTACAAAGTAGATGAACTGCCTTTGCTGCTGCTGCTGGACCATGTTTTATAGAAAATCCACAAAATGCTGCATATTACTCCACAGGAGTCCAACGCTTTTTAGCTCGTGGCTACTTTGATCCTAATATGTAGTGACATTTTAAGGGCAAGCATTTCAATGACCTGAGTTACCAATAGACTATTCAATTACTCTGTCTATTCAAAACTTTCAGCCTTATTTCTTTACTCTGTCCTGATATGACGGGTACATGCAGCCACCCTCAATAAATAGGCTGATTAGCTGGGTGTTTATAAGACAGCCATCAACAGAGACAGGGTCACTGTAGCAATCATTAGGCGTCATGGTTCACACTGAATTAAAATGGATATGACACACTCATGCTTCCTTTATTGTCATTTTGTTCTGCCTGGCCAGCACAGATTCAAAGACAGAATACCAGGAGAATTACTAATCTCCATAACCAGAAGGGCTAGACATTAAAAAAAAAAATCTTAGATTCTAGATAACCATACAGAAATCCACAGGAAGGCCCTAGATCCTTGGAAGTCATGGAATTTTCCATGCTATTACTATCTCAGGTTGGGCTGGAGCCCACCTGAACTGATCACCAAGTATTCTAAAGCATTCTAATTTTCAACTCTATTTTTAAGCAACCACATCTGCTTCTTTGTTTCTTAGTTCAGCATGCAACCTTTTAAAATACTATCCTACCAGTAAATGTTCTGTTTTGTCATGTGCTGTGCTTTACAGTGAACAGTAACACTATGGCTGAGTACAATCAATTTTTCCATCAGTCTTCGGTTACTGTAGTACATTATTTATTTTTTTCCTGTCTGCTGTTTGTGCTTCCAATTTAGAGTTGCCATTGCACTTCTTATATTTTTTAAATAAAACCTATATATTTAAAAAAATCACCAAGAGCAGCAATGAGAGGTCTTATTTCCTGCAGGGTTTATTCCTTCATTTGTTCTGTGTCTTGATGTTTTGCGTTTCATGTTACAGCTTACTTAGTGCTGCAGCTAATTTTTTTTAATGCAGCCATTCAAAGTTACATTGGGTGGCAAGGAGAAGCGAGACATATGAAATTAACTCAGTTACATCTGTTGCAAAAAAAAACCCCAACCCTAGCTTGGCGCCTCAGACCAGAATGGTGCTAATACCAGTAAACATTAGCAGATCTTTTTCTGGCCATATAAAAAACTTGCAGGTGTCTAAGAGACAACATGTAAATACAGGACCCTTTAGGAAAAGTGCCAGATCATATCACTGGTGCTATTTCTTATGTTCTGGCACAATGTGTAGCCCACAGGGTCTAAGTTGAACCAAAAATCTTATGGCTTATTGACTATCCATGAATGATCACATTGACATCTTGCTGTTTTTGTACAGGTGTGCAATATTTCAACCCATTTATTTCTGCCCATAAGTCATCTTCCATGCACTGGCCTCTCTTAGTACTTGATACTGGGGCTCATGAACTTACACTAACTACAAGAGCCTCTCTTTCTACCTTATTTCCTGTTTTTGCCAGCTAAGGAGGCCCTTTGTCTATACAAGTACTTTGTAACCTCTTAGATGTTAAAGGCACTCTTGAAAATAAAAAATAAAACAAACAGTACTATAACTGTGTTAGTAGTTAGCATGGTTTGATGCACCAGTCCCCTCACTCTGGGAAGCACTGCTGAATGTGAGCTAATAATAATTATGAGCCATCTCTAGCTACCTGCATTTCAGAATAATAGCTGTTATTCCAAAATAACCATGCGAGTGTCTACACAGCAATTCTGTTATTTTGAAATAATTTCGAAATAATGAACAGCTTTTTCCAGCTTCTGTTAACCTCATTCTATGAAGAATAACATCTATTCTGAAATAGCTATTTCAAAATAAAGCATGTGTAGATGCTCCACTTCTGCTATTCTAAAATAGCCCCTCACCAGGGCCAGTTTAAGTTATTCCTCCTGGGGTTCTAAATCGAGGTAGCACATCTACATTAGGGAAGCCTGCCTCGGACTACTTTTGAGACTTCCCTGCAGTGTAGACGTGCTATTTCTAAATAAGCTATTTCAGAATAACTATTCCAGAATAGTTTATTTTGACATAACGGGGCAGTGTACATGTAGCCCTACTGACCCAGTTAGTTAACAGCAAGTGACATTATTTTTCTATGGAACATTTCATAGTGTTTTACACTGTCATCATTACAGATGCTTAGCAAAATTCAGTCAAGTGAGTAGGGAGTTTGGGGGAGGCAGGTTGTTGCATTTTTTTTTCAAAGTAAGTACACAAAAAAAGATTGTTTAGTGAGGAACTATGCGTGTAAATATTTGCAGAAAAAACACTCAAGAACAAAAGCCGCTGTCATCTTTCTACAGCCTCAGAGTTAAAGCCATACCCTTCTGTGGTCTTCAGTCACAAAAGGAGGTCTCACATCAGCCACATTGTTGAATGGGAACTTTTTTTGCTCTTAAAAATAGCCGCTACTCAATTTTATGCATGAGTTTTGTCTGGTGATTGTTTTCATGCACTTGAGCTCATTTCTTAATAAAGTAAATATATATTTTTAGACCCATCAACACAACATCTAGCCAATTAGCTCAGCAGTAAGAACAGGTCATCAATACATAACAATAGGAACAGTTCCATTGTAGTATCTTACGGGGTGCAAACCGTGATCAAGGCTGACAGCAACAACAGCTACATTCTGGATGGGAGAGAGGTTGGCGCCTCTGCTGGTGTACAGCATTGGTGCTCCATTGACTTCAGTGGCACTCATCCTATTTATTCCACCTGTAGCTACAGATAGTAGTTCCTCTCAAATTAACTATATTTAGGAACCAACAGTCTATTATTCCATAATATGAAGGGCTAGCTTTTCCAAACTCCTCAGCACTCAGTTTGGTTCAGATTTTTAAAAATACTGAGCTCCCGCTGGCTCTATTATCCTTACTACTCAATATCTGTATGGGGATGGCTGATAGGCGTCCCTGTCATGGAGTTGGGCCACGCTGTGCTTGGTGCTGTATGCACAGAACATAATGACCCTCATGCCTGCCTCAAACAGCATGTGGATTTTCAAAAGCGTTCAGCACAAAACAGCTGTTCCTGAAGGGGACAGACATGGGGGTTGGAGAACACTACACCACTGGGCGCAGGGGTCTGCCTTGCTGCATCACACTGCATTAGCACCTTACTCTGTTCCCTGACATGGTGATCTGGCTCAAACTAACCACGGAGCCCTCATATAAGACAGAATTTAAGAGGGTGGGTATATCACTAGCTGAACATCAGGCCAGTTCGAATGAAATGAAACTGCTGACCTCCCCTGGTAGAATAATGCACTTTTAATTATCTTAATTTCTGGGTTTGTTTACTAAGTTTGAACAAGCTGGTTTGAACTTTTGAGTGGCTGTTTGCAGACTGTTTTGTTTGCTACTTGCTGATGTGGTTCTGCTCAACAGGCTGTTTCTAAATCCAGCAGTAGTTGGGGGGGTAATCAGTATCTGAACTGGAGTTTACAAAATACACTATACAGCATACAGGCCTGTTCAGTGTAAATATTCTACGCTTCCATTCCATTCATGTAAAGAATAAAGCACACACAATTATAAAATTAAGCTGTACATTTCATACTAGCTGTGTGTGTCCTTGCTTATTTATTCAGTTACAAGCTCTCCGTTGTGGTCCAGCTGTAAATGCTTGATAGAGTGTTTATAAATATGTCATGAATTTTATTATAAATTATTAATATTAAAGCATTTTTACACTTTATAGCAAATGGCTCCTTCATAAGGCAAAATTTGTCTTTTTTCCCCTTAAGGTGAAGCCATAAAAGGTAATGGACGTGCATTTAATTTATGCAGGGACATGTTCGGATTTATTACACAAGCCAAACTGTTAAGATGAACGCAATACTGGCTGTGAGCCGTGATACTAAAGAGGAATTAGAGAAAGGTAGGGCCAGAAAGGCCCTCAAGATGTCAGCTCGTCCAGTCCTCCCTGCATGTGCATAAACAGAGCAGGTATGCCTAGCCCATCCATAACAACTGACCATCTAACCTGTCCATAAAAATCCACCCAGGATGGCAGTTCCATACCCTCCCTTGGTAAACTGTTCCAGTACATAACTACTCTTCCAATTAGAAAGTTTTTCTATAATATTTTACCTAACGCTCTCTTGCTGAAGAAGAATTTCTTGTCCTCCCAGTCAATCACTGTCCTATTTTTATCAGGTTTCCTCTCAGTCTTCTTTCTGAAGGCTAAACGTCAAGGTTTTTGTAAAACAAATCTTACCTCACAGATCATGTTTTCTAGCCCCTTTATCATTTTTGCTGTGCTCTGATAACCCCCTCCAATTTGTCCACATCATTTTTCATGTGCTCTCCCGCTCCCCCCCCCCCCCCCCCCCCCAGAAGTGCCCACAGTACTGTTCCTGAAGCCTCTCAGGAACCAAGTAGAAAGGGACGATTACCTCACACACCTCACACACGACACGTCTGTTAATCACACTAAAGCTTTTCCTGCCCTGCTGCTTTACTTCTCTGTGAACGAGTGAAGAGGCTTCAGATGCACTCTATGGAATATTAAATCCTAGGAAGAAATGCCATTTTCCTGTGCTTTCTGCCATTGCCATTTATAGGGAAGCATCAGCATAACTGTGTGATTTCTTGGTGCATGTTTCTAGGCTCACAGGAGTAATATATGAAGCAAAATGCAGGACTATGTAGCACTTTAAAGAAGAACAAGATGGTTTATTAGATGATGAGCTTCCGTGGGCCAGACCCACTTCCTCAGATCAAATAGTGGAAGAAAATAGTCACAACCATATATACCAAAGGATACAATTTTAAAAAAGTGAACACATATGAAAAGGACAAATCACATTTCAGAACAGAAGAGGGATGCAGGGGGAGGGGGGAGGAAGGAAGGTAAGTGTCTGTGAGTTAATGATATTAGAGGTGGGGAAAGTTAGATATCTGTGAGCTAATGATAATTGGGGAAGTTATCTTGGTAATGGGTAAGGTAGTTGGGGTAATATATGACCATCAGACTAAATTTTTTGTTTACTTCACACACCAGACTTGAAAAATATTTAAGTGAAGGTTCACTCTGCAGTGTATTAACTGGCATGTAACAGTGACCCTGGTCCCCCAAATTAATCTTTGTGGATGGTCTTTTGGGTCCATGTGAAGCCCAGTTGACTTCAATGATTTCTCTGATTAAGTGCAGCCCTGATTGCAGGGACTTTGTTTTTAACAGTAACTGATAAAAGAAATGGCAGCATGGCTCAGAGAACTGTCAATGCTAGTATGTAGATCAAAGTTCACCATGGAGCCATGCACAGAATTTTCAAACAACAGTTAATAGTCAATGCAACAATTGTAATATTTTCTGTTACTTGAACAGAGCCAAAACTGAAGGGCAAATCTAAAAATAGCCTAGTACAATCTCCAGGTAAGTGCACTGCCTCAATCTCAAATCAGATTGTTAAAGCTTTTTTTGCTGACACGTTTATTGAGAGACTTTTCACAGAGCTGTGTTGCTGCAGTAACTACAGCAGCAAATTTAAACCATCCAGTAGAACGGTATGTTGGAACATACACTCAGCTAAAATTGTCCTTTCTAGCCCCCTCCCTTTTGTTTTAATAACAGTAGATAGCATTTATAGAGCACTTTTTGGCTTCAAAATGCTATGCCACCATTATGTGTGCATCTACCCTAATCTCAAAATAAACTACGCAATTTGCGTATTTCAAGGTAATTTCAAAATAGAGCACCCGTAATCCTCATTGAACGAGGTTTACAGAGATGTCAGAATAACATGCCTGTTATGTTTCAAAATAATGGGCTTGCTCAAAAGATGAGGAATAGCTATTTTGGGATACTTCGGGTATCCTGAAATAGTTCCTGAAAACACACCAGAAGTGAGTAAAATATGTAACATCTCAATTACAGGAGCCCCCTAATAGCAATAACTATTAATTCAAGCAGGACAGTGAATACTGTTAGCTTATCTTGTCATACTAAGTATGCTACATAAAGATCCTCGCTTTCATACTGGCACAATGCTGGCGTAGGTGCATGTCAAGTCAAAACAATGCGTAAATGTAATGGAGAAAAACTTAAGTAATCTACACTACAAACAGAGATGCTATGGCAGCATGTGTAGACTTCCTCTAATCTAGTTAGCTTAGATCCAATAGGAGCAAAGCTGCAACAGTAAAAGCTCCTAAATCTTTTAGGTTCTCTTCAAAATGTCCCTGCTTGTTTTGGTTTATCACCAAGAAAGCCAAACTACGCTGGTGTCTACTATAATAACCATAGAAAGGTAGGGCTGGGCAGCATTATTCTTGAAAAGCCTTTATGTGCTAAATAAGCATCTCCGTGGGTTTGCTTTACTTTCTGTCAAGATGAAAATAGCTGAGCATATGCATCATCCGCAGGTGCAGTGAGGCTGGCCTCGTGCCAGCCCCAGGGAGCCTGTTTCAGGTAATACTCCTACTTCCTCAACTGCTGCTGCCTATGGAGACGCTGCTTCCTTGACAAGCTCTGTGGCTGCGCTGCAAAACATACTGAAGAACTGGGTTAGAGTCAGAGAGAGGAATTCTAATTTTAGCCCCCAAGATGCCAAATTAGTAGTGCAGCAGATCATTAAGGACCATTAGCTGCTCTTCAGCACTGAAATGTAGGGCTGTTCTACACTGAGAGGTTAGC